ATCTACAACTTGTTAACGTATGGAGTCAGCCCAGTTCAGTTTAGATACTATAGATAAATGCATAGCCCTCACAAAAATGGCTGTAACTTTGTCAAATGTACAAATTTTGAGCTAAAACATGTTGTGGTAGTAGCTGAGAGTCATTCCCAACACATACATTGTAACAGCAGCTGGACTCCAACAGCTGCATGCATGAGCACATAACATGAGGAAGTGAGTGGCTGCTTGCTCATTTTACTGACAGGAAACTGATCCAAACACAGCCTGAGACTTCAAAAATAATTAGATGAGGAGGAAGAGGAAGATGATGATTGACAGCTGTACACATCCTCCCGCTGCCTGATGACTGGACACCAACAGATCAATATAAAGGTGACGGACGTCCAAGCAGCACAGCTCCATGTTTCAAACCTCAAATGTCATTTCTAATCAGAGCATTGAGTTCTGAGACAGCTTTACATCAAATATTCCCACAGTCCTCCTCTTCAGTCCTGATGTAGGGACCAAACAATCCAGTGTTTTCCAAAGGAAGCTCATTGCAGATCCACCCCCACTTATGTTCCCCCCACCGTTACTTTGATGTGAAAGAAATAGCCCAGACTCGGAAACCATGGTGCCAACCTCAGCGCCCTCGAGGCTCTCCACAGCGGAACTCGGAGCTTACAAATCTGTGTGCTGCATACTTTGCTTTACCACAGAATCCATGTATAAAACCCGCCCATGTGGCGACCTTGAAAGAGCCCCCATCTGTCTCTCACGCCCCCCTCCTCACTCAGCTGTCGGAGCAGCCTACATCTGGAAGCTGTTCAGTGACATCAGTGGACAGGTTCTCATCCCAGGATCTAAAGTCTGCATCAGTGTGACCACCTCTGCATCCATTTAACTCTGATCCTGCTCTACTCAGCTGCTGGGCAACAAGGAGCAGGTAGAAGTCAAAAGATTAAGGTCATCGTGTTCTTTTCTGTCTTTACTAATAATAAGCTTTAAGTGTTAAGCTAAAAGTTCACAAAAGTGCAGCATGCTTGAAAACAGGCCAAATAAAGATGCAAACATGTTTCAAGTGGTTCTGCTTTGACGTGAGGTCTCATTGTGTGAATTACCTCACTAAAAAGACCACCATTATAGGAGGAGGTGGGGAAGTGGTTGTCAGACGTGGGTGCACTCATTATTTAAGCTATGGAAGTTTCAAGACCATAAAGATTTCTAACAAAGACTTATTTTGCAACTTTTAACAGAATATTTTTATTATAAAACTGCAATATTTACTGCTTTTTATTTGTTAAAAATCCAAAGCTGATAAAATGAAGTCTAAAGAGCAAACGGGAACAAGCCAACTTACACAACACTGTTCTTGATATGGTTGTGCTCAGTGAAGGAGCTCCAGAGGTTGTGGAGGACATGTTTGTCTTTCCAAAGAGTTCTGAACAGTTCAGATGATTGGTCAACTGAACAATGTTGCATCTGATCACAGCAAATAAGGATTTGCTGTGATTTTATTGTGGTGTGAAGCACGTTGCTTTATTCTCCAGCTGTTTAGTTCCTTCAAAATATTCTAAAGACACTAAGACATCCACTATTTAAGATGGTGGGGGCTGTGGTTAGATCTGTCATTTCTAACCCAAACCCGGAGCTCGGCCCGGCCCGGGCCATAATAATGTGCTTAATGTGTGGACCGGGCCGGTGTCGTGCTTTTGATTGCGTCAGCGGACACACGTGGCTGACGATCCAATTATATGGCAGTATGGTTTGCCATACAATCACCAGCCACATGTGGCCATTTGACCACGATCTGACCGGCCTTGAAAGAGGTAAAATAAAGTTCAGTTAAGCTTCAGATGGGACTATACTGCCAGAGAGTGATCCATCAAAGCCCAAATGGATGTTCATTCAGCAGCTACACGCACGGCTGACGACCCAAACAGGTGAGATCCTAAAATATCTGACATGTCAGAGCAGGGTCCATGTCTGAATAATGCAGAATGCAGGAAGAAGCAGGGATTTAATGTGCTTTGACAACCATGAAAGGACAAACACCCCCTCAGCTCTGATCTTCTGTCCCCTTGGCTACGTGCAGCTGCCGACTGTTAATAACTTTATAAGCAGTCAAAGCTTAATTAAAAATGTATTTTTTGTGTATGTGTGTTCGGACCCGTAATTACTGTTAATTTGTTGGGTTGGGTGGGGTTCAGAAATGATGGCTACGGGCTGGGTCTGGGTCAGGTCAGATTTTTTGGGCATGAATACAACTCTATCAGAATCAGAATAAACTTTATTGGCATTGCACCAAGATACAACGGGAATATGTACGTACATTCGTCCGAAAGATGGGTGGCGTGCACGAAGCTGCAACTATAAAAAGCGCGGCCTTCTTATTCTTATTCAGACTAAGTCTAGCTGTGGTATTGGTGGTCGATGCAGCGGTCTTGTAATCATGAGATTGCAGGTTCAAGTCCAGGCTGTGTCAGGTATATTTGACAATTTTTGTTGTAAAAAGTGTAATTGCTGTACTGGGTCTTACTGTGGTCTGGTTCTGGGATACGGGCGCTGGCTGGCGATGGTGGCCCGGGTGGCCCAGGCAGACCTGGGAGACCTCTCTCTCCTGGGAGTCCTGGTGGACCACGAGGTCCTGAGAAAATAGACGAAAGATGAAGAACACCTGCAGATATGATGGCAGACTGAAACATGACTTAGTGATGTTCTGAGTGGAGGATAAACTGCAACAGAGACCAGAGAGAGAAAACATTAGACGAAGTGATGATGTAATACAATAGTGTCTGATTAGGTGGACATCTGTTTGTCCACATGTGGAGTAAAATCAGTGAACTGAAGAACAGAAGGTTCATTAATGGTCTGCTGCTGGAAACTGAGTGACACATAAAAAACTTAAACAGACTTAAACTCTGCAAAATGTTACTGGCACAAGGTTGACGGTAAATTGACTATTCCCTGCATGCATGCCACCTGTTTTTGTGTGTTTTCATTCACGAAGAGCCTGCAACTGAGGCAGTAAGTGAAAGTGTTCCTCTGTCCTCCTTTGGCAATTCATTTAAAGATGGGGAAAAAAACTCATTACATCACTTGACCTCTCTGAGATCACCACCTTCCTCCCTCTGTCCCATCAACACTCAGCACCTTTCTGTTTATTCCCTGATGAAACTTACAGTCACTGTCCAATAACTGCTGCATTTCTATATGATGTTATGACAGCCTTGATCTGACTTATCCATGGCCTGCAGCACAGCTGGCCATGTTTTGGTTCCTTCTTGGAAGACATCCACAGCACAGTGGGTCATGTTAATGCCCCAACTGGTCCTTTAAAGTTTATGCAGCATATAAGAGAAAAGCATTTTTCCTGAATCATGAGGCGCCCTGGAAGTGATCACCCCTCACCCCCTACACACACACACAAATCTCGAGGATGCTGTGACAAAACACAAGATCTTTGCAACACAAAGTTTAACTTTTCTCCCACAGTTGAGTCATTTTTACACAACACTGGTCATATTCCTTTCCTGTGTTTATCTTTCACTTCAGATTGAAAAGAAAACACAATAGGAAAATCGCAGCGCCGCTTTCGGATACGTATGAAGTAATGGAGACAGGAAAAAAAAACAGAAACACTGCAGACATATGGAAATCATAATGAGCAGGGATTTGTATATATGGCTCGAACTGAAGTCACACAGAGCTGCTCAGAAAGTGCGCTTGTAGTTCAAGTTTCGCTCTAAATCTCATTTTTACACAGAGCGAGGTTCGCGTGTTCGACTGATCCAAAGCAGAGTAATCGACAAGCAGATGCTGTGATGTATTCATACTTGCCAATTACGTTCATCACTGAAATTCTAGCTGGTGGTAGATTACCTGTTTTATTCAACAGGTGAGCTGAGGATTTAGGGGAAGAAGTTTATGACTTGGTTTCTGGTTTGTCCAATAATCGTGAACAATACGTTTAGAAACATGATTTTAAATGCAGGCCGGTAAAATGCAAATTCCGGTGAATAACCAGCAGACCTCAAAGGCCACAGGAATGTTCAGGCTTTTACCATTGCAGGGCCTGTGGATGACTGAGGTTTAAGTAAAAAACAAACACTCTGGACGTTTCAGGTCAGATCTCTGTTGTTTCCACTGATCTTTAGTCAATAGTAAACCATTCAAACATCTTCTATTGACAGCAAAGTAAGAATAAGTAAACTGCTGACATGACCTGCAGGCCTAATGACAAACTGTTTAAACACAGGGTTTAGTTAATCTTATCTCACAACTATCATTAATCTTCATGGTCCACTTTTACCTGCTGGTCCTGAAAGTCCCTTTGAGCCAGGAGCTCCAGATGGACCCCTTGCCCCAGTTTCCCCTGGAGGCCCGTTGGGACCTGGCAGCCCTTGAGACCCTGACTTTCCTACAGCGAAGAAAAAAAAACCAGTCGTGATGAGTAATCATGAAGCTCTAACTGGTTTACAACTCAAATGGTTTGACATCAACTGAAACTACAATTACTTCTTACCGTCTCTGCCAGGAAGCCCATCTCTCCCCTTTTCACCCTGGGGACCTGGAATGAAACACAGTCTTAATTAAGAGGTTTATATCTGTGAAAAAAAATCTGAACTCAAACCACCTGGAGATGACGTTGTGTAAAATATACTCAAGGTTAAAGAGCAGTTTTGCTCAAGAGAGCTCCTTGTTGCATTTAGGTTTAGGGAATATTGAAAAGTCATTTCCAAAATGTTGAATACTTATAACAAAAGTAAAAACTTTTCACGTTTTATGAAGGAGCCACTCATTTTGAACTAAATCCCCTTTTTTAAAATGACAGGTCTTTAAACTAGACTTTTTAATTTCACACCTCTTATTTAAGAACTAAACTTTCCTTCTACCGTTTCTCTTTTATAGTCAGATATTTCTCTTTAATGCTGTTGTCACTTGTTGCAAATGGTTTGGCTCCACCGATTCAACTTCATGGCATATGCAAACAAAAAACCTTTTTTTTCTTTCAACCAGTAACAATCACAAAATGATCACAGCGCTCCCTCTTTGTTGGCGCTACAAACAGCTCTGCAGCTCGGCCGCTTGCTGCAGCTTTCTGCTACCGCAGGGTTAAAAATATTTGGTCTGACTGTGAAAACATCTGTTGCAAAAGAAACGCAGAACAAGTGTGTCATTTCTGTGTGGGATTTTTGGTTACAGTAGAAGTTTGTATTGCACCTATTTTAGGAAGTACTCTCTCAGGTCGCGACGACTTACATCATTAGAGTAACTGAAATTAATTTAATTATCATATACCATATTTTTTGTCATATAAGTCGCACCTTTTTGCATGAATTTGCAAGTTCTGCGACTTATACACTGAAGCGACTAATATACGTACCCCCACCCCACCCCATTTTTATAACACAATTTTTGGCTGAGATCTGACGATTTCATTTGTTCTGACTTGAAAAATATTGAACACTACCATTTTCAGCCACTAGAGGACCCTCAAGCATTATGGCAAGCCAAGTGTCTCATTAATAGGCAAAAGTGGCTATTAATGAGACACTTGGCTTGCCAAAGAGAGCCACCTTTGTCTCGCTCCAGAACTCCTGTAGCAAGTGTCAAATCAGCTGCATTTTGTCGCACCTCCCAGGCGAAATGCAGCTGATTTGACCATTAAAGTGCATTTATTAAGGAAAACTTCAACTGAGACACACCTTTACTATAATGTCAAGCAAACAAACAATTGTTTTTAGGTGGTTATCTTGTTAAAATTAGAAGAAATGGACAGCGAGTAGCCCTCTGCGCGTTAATGTTTCCACGTATCAGCTTTTGAAATGCAGCTGCGTTGACTGTCAAAGTGCGTTTATTAAGGAAAAGTTCAACTGAGATACACCATCCATCCATCCATCCATCCATTTTCTTTACCCACTTATTCCATTTTTGGGTCACGGGGGTCGCCGGTGCCCATGTCCAGCAATCACTGTGCGAGGGGCGGGGTACACCCTGGACGGGTCGCAAGTCCATCACAGGGACACATAGAGTCAAACGAGACAACCATTCACTCTCTCACTCACACCTAGGGACAATTTAGAGTTACCAATCAGCCTAACATGCATGTTTTTGGGCTGTGGGAGGAAACTGGAGTACCTGGAGAAAACCCACGCATGCACGGAGAGAACATGCAAACTCCACCCAGAAAGGCCCCTGGACCGGGGTTTGAACCAAGGACCTGCTCACTGAGAGGCAGCAACTCTACCAGTTGCGCCACCGTGCTGCCCACTGAGATACACATTTGCTATAATTTTGAGCAAACAAATAATTGTTTTTAAGTGTTAATCTTGTGAAATTCTTGTTGAAGTCCTCCCATGCACGCTCCCGCGGCCGTCATTTTGGCTGCCAATCGATTTTTGGCACAACACTGACCCACTTTTCCGGGTGGTCAGCGTGACGCATAATAGATGTGACTTATACAGCGAAGCAACATATTTATGTTTTTTCCACTTTATTAGACATACTGTATGTGGACTGATGCGACTTATACAGTGGTGCGACATGTACGGCGGCAAGTACTACTGCTGGATTTTGGCACCAGCAACCCAGAAAGGTAAAGCGGATGACTGGATGGCTGGCTGGATGGATGGCTGGATGGATGGATGGACATTTAAGCTCTACATAACATCCTGCTTTAGTGAAGGTAAATAAATGTGTGTAATGAAGAAAAGGTGCAATAGTAGTGGACAACAAAATGTGCCTTTTTTGGAACATTTAGCAAAAATAAAACTCTAAATTTTATATATTTGTTTGGGTTAGCTTGAAATTTTATTTGAGCACAACATAGGATACCTGCAGGTCCCTGCTCACCAGGAGCTCCCTGAGCCGGAGCTGCTCCCATCAGCAGTGACTTCTCTGGAGTTCCTCCTTTGCTCTGTAAGTGACGATGTGAAACAGCAGCTGGTGCTGTGAGTAACTGCACCTGAGATATGAAAAGAGTTCAGGTTAAGTTAATGACACGGATGATTAAAGTAGCACTGACATAATGCTCAGCAGTTCTTCACCTTTGCCTCCAGTGAGTTCATCCTCTCATTCAAATCTGTGATTCGACTGCAGTTGAGACAATCTGCAAAACATACATTTATTTTATTTACTTGAAGAACTCTAGTATAAAGGCAAACTTTGAATTTGTTTTGTCAAATAATGGTACAACATGATCTTACTTGAAATCGATTCTCCTGCGCGTGCAAAGGGACGCCGATGAGTGGTGGGATTCCTCACTGCTTCTTGAGCTACAAGCTGGTTCCTTCCATCTGTGACAAAGATTACAATGCAAACAAATGTGTGACTTGGTTTAAAAACTGTTAGGATTCCTTTAGCTTTATAAGATAATCAAAACCTAGAAAAAAGTATTTCTGTGATAAACTGGAAATAAAAAGTTGGAAGCAAGGTGGAATTTAACCTGCAGTTACCCTGATGACCAGCAGGGGGAACTATGTCTCACTAAAACTTTGTTAGCAAAAGTTCTTGAGTTAATAGTTCTAATCTATATCAAGAAAATTACATACCTAATTTAATCAAGAGTAAATAATATAAAAATATATATATTTAAACAAAGGCGCTTCACTACGTGCATGCGCAGTATTCATGTCTGTGTGATGGTCTTTAACATGAATGCTTACAAACCAGAGGATGACGTCATGATGACTTTTTTTCATGCAGCTTTTAATTTCTTATCATGTGCAACACAGGATTCAAGTAATAAAAACTGCCATTCAAATTCATCTAAATAGTTTGATGTAGTCCAGTTAATTTAATTAGCAAAACCTAGTAGTATCATTAAAATAAAATATGTTGTTTTTTTAGTTTAATTAGTTACAAAACTTATTCTAAACATATCTAACTTCTGAGCAGATGCTGTCTAAGTGTGTAATAGATAACATCTCATCAATCAAATGATGTGGATGCTAAAGACAGTTGTTCAAAAGCTGACAAACTGAGAGCTGAAATCATCTGAGAGTGTTTGAACTTTTCTCTGATTTTTATTTCCGACAGACATTTTGTGCGTGCAACATCTCTGCTTTCCCTATCCGTTCGCTTTCTACGAATTTTACAATTGTAAGCCTAGACAGAGGGGCACAAAAAGACAAAACAGTAGTTTCTTTGTGCGAGGAGAATGGGCAGTCTCGGCTCACATTCTGTCTTTCTTTCATTTTATGAAGTGTGGGAGTTTGTCTTGAGGTTCTGGATGTTTTGAATGGGAGGACTTCAGTGGAAACGCTAGACTGACTCCATTGTCTGGGCCTGGCCTGGCTGTGGTTGGCCCAGGTGCTCCTAAAACAAATAAGGGGCTGGGGTTCAGCACCTCATTAGCCACCAAGAAGCATGTCTTTTGTTTCAGTGGCCAGCAGCCACAGCTATCCCAAGAGATTGACTCGAAAAAGCCGTAAAATAGCACCTGCAGTACAGAGCTGAGGAAGAAGAGCGGCACTCCTCTTAAAGAGCTTCACTTCAGATGTGATGTGATGATGGCGTAATGGTTGAGTGATTATCTCTAAACAGTGAAAGAAGAGAAGGAAAAGAAGGACAAAGGAAATGTTCCAAAACACTGTTTCTGCCTCAATTATTTCCCTTCCTCAACTTCTGTGTTCATGGTCTCATTGTTTGGGGTTTGGGACATTTCTCAGAGGATTACACGTGTAGACATTTTAAAACCATGTAATACAACCTGAGACTGAAATGTTATGACACGAGCTCTGCATGTCCTCTCTTTACATGTTTCAATACCAATGCAAGCCTTGAGAAGAACGCACACTTCAGTCTGCACGGGGTGAAGGCTGCAAAGGCAAACGGGATGTGTGCATGTTTGCTTGTGTATGAGCACATCCTGCAGAGTTTTCCTGCAGAGTTCAGGCCCTGCAGATGACTGCTTTCAATTACACAAAGGAGGCTCTGGGTATGTATACCCTCTTGTTACTTTCTTAACTGCACCTCTTTTTCCTCTAAAATAAAGAACTTTAAAGATCTGCTCACCCAGCGTCGAGCTTTGAATGAAGCATTAATCCGGATTTGGAGCAGAAACAGCCACACATTTCTTACATACGCTCCATCATGCTACAGCAAGACTCCTGCTTTTGTTGCACCTCATGTGACAGAATCAGCAAATTGTGAGAGCTTTTGTGTGCGTATGTGCGCGCGTGCAGACAGAGAATGACAGAAATGCTTTAAGTGTGATCCATCTCTTCGTTGGCCAACATCAACATCATTACACTGTATCCATGCTTTGATCTCAGAGGACTAATTGTCCCAGCGGGGAGTGGGGGGGTGGTGTCGATCATGTTGCTTCGATGTTTAATCAGAGTCAGAGCTCCTCATTAGTGATACCCCCACCGAGACATCAGCCGTCTCGCTGCACTTTTTCCTCTCGCACGGTTTAGAGGTTTGTTTACCAACACTCCTCTGGACGAGCTTTGCTCCTATTGGATCTCAGGAAAAGAGGAGCAAAATGCGAGCACTGAACGTTATCTTTTTCCAGTCTCATAATTATAGTGTGTGTTCAAGAAGTCACGAAAGATGAGCGGAGGAGCTGCTGAAGCTGAGTGATTAATGATATATAACGTAAAAGTACAACCATGAGGTCAAACAAGACACTTTGTGAAATGTAAGACAGAATCAAGTCTGACACACACATTTTACAGAGTCTGAGCTTTTTTTTTTTATAGACTGTGATGTATAAGAACATGTGATTGTGGAAAAAGGCTCCAAATCCCATTTTACTAGTCATCAGCCCTGAAACGATCATTAATCCAAACGACGAAACGTTTCAACAAAGAAGAATCTGCCAAAGGACTTGACTCAACATTGTCAGAATCACTAATCCAGGGTTTCTAAATATGTCTCTAGATACTGCAGTATTTATTTATTAATGTATGTATCTATTCATTTAAAAGAAACAAAGCTAATTCATCAAAAAGAAAAAAAAACATTGAATTAAAAGGGTGCAGAAAGAAGAAGAAATTTCTTATAATATCTGCCTCGTATTTAAAAAAAATATATGAATGTATTGATGAGTGTGGGCAGTGGGGACCTCCAAGCCTCACATGTAGACCTGCAAGCTTCTGCAAAATCCCCCAAACAATATTCTCTCCTACATTTCCTCTGATTTAAAGCACCAGCTGCAATAAAAGGATAACAGAAGATGAGTCCAGTCAGTGTGTCAACTCTTAATCACATTTACAATATTCAGCCGAGAAAGAACAAAGCACTTCTAACGTTACAATAGATGCAGCTTAAATTTGCACTTACTTTCCTCTGATGATTTATTTTTAATCAAGAAAAAAACATTGCAAAAACTTGTAAGTTAAAACAAAAAGTTCAATAGAATATGAAAATGAGAGTAACCAGGGCACAGACACGTGAAAAGTTTTGGGAGTCAACACAAGAGAAGTGTGAACAGAGCCAGAGGTGACTTCACTCAGGAGAAAACAACACTTTCAGATTGAATTTCACAAAAACTATCAATAACCCTGCACAACTGCTTCATCACAACTTTATTACTGAGTTAAAATTCCCACTTGAACATTTAGGGCCTCACAAGTCAGACAGACAACGAAGACAAACGCAGTGGCACTTCTGCAAGTTAAAAACCGCACATGTGACAATTAATGACTTAGTTCACACACTTTGATGCTTTGACTGCCTGACTTTGGAAGTTCATCTTCCTCGTTGTTTGGTCTCTGCAGAATAATGGACTCTAACAAGCTTTTTGAATTCTCAAGCCCAGTTTTACAGCCGATGGATGAGCAGCATATGAAGGTCTTTCTCCAGTCAAATTGATTTGTCTCAAAGTTTGAATTTTCTTTCAGAGATAACAGTTCAAGTTCTGGCAGCAGCTGTGAAGGAAAACAACACACACACACACACAAACACACACACAGCAGACGCAGCAGAGTGTGAAGTCCTGATCCATCTCTGTCGGGCCCATTGGCTGAGCTCAGCGCTGCAGCACCATTAGTGAGCAGGTGCTGACAGCTAGGCAGAGGAGGCGTTTATCTCTGTCTCTACAGCGCTCAGACCAAACTGCTGCTGCTGCCTTCAGATAAACACACAGTCCATTTACAGTGAACGCTGGAGCTCTGCACAAGCTGAGCTGAACAAGGCGGCTACTCAGGACGGATGAGAGCTGACACTTTCTTCCAGAGTTGATTTTAACTGAAGCGGTGTGGGTACAAGAAAAAAAAAATCCAAGCTGATCTTACAAGAAATCAAAAAGAGTAACAATTTATAGTTTTATGATTCAGAAGAAGAAATGGGTGGTGGGGCTGCAGTAGCTCGTGTAATCCTCAGGTTGCAGGTTCGAGCCCAGGCTACATCAGGAAGGGCCATCGGGCGTAAAAAAATTGCTAAATCTTTTATGTGAGTTTGCTCGCTGTGGCAACTGCTGAAGAAGGGAACAGCTGAAATAAACTTACTGTAATTGAGAAGAAATAATAATAATGATAATGTAAGGAATTTGTGGTGTTAAGTACTGTCAACCACAGAGTGTGTAGTTTTCAAGAAAAAAAATACAAAATAACTTTTAGCATAATACATTTGCAGGAAGAAATAGTGGGGGAGTCTGCTCAGAAAACTTATATCTGCATTTTCTTTGCTTTCCCAACATTTTTGGTTTCTTTAATCAGGTGATTTATTTACAGATAAGGACAGACTACCTTGGAACTACTGCTCTGCTTGTTCATCTGCAGCCTTGAAATCTGAGCAGCACTCATACTGGATGTGTTCAACATAATGGTACTTCTTCCAGTTATTTAACAGTCAACAATGGTGTACCACAAGGCTCAGTCTTAGGACCCACCCTCTTTACAATCTACATAGGTAATGTAGGTCAGAGCATCCTTGATGCATCCTTACATTTCTATGCTGATGACACAGTTGTTTACTGTCGAGCTAAAACAGTTGTTAAGGCTCTCCAGCTTTTGCAGTCCGCATTTGACATCACCCAGTCAGATTTGTTCCACCTCAAACTTGTCTTAAATGCTGATAAAACCAACGGGATGCTTTTTTCAAACAGGAAATCGGTCCCAGCAGTTCTTCCTCAGATTTTATTCTCAAATGGTGTCCCTATTGAGTTTGTTGATTCCTATAGATATTTGGGTATCTTGGTCGACTCACATCTCTCTTTTAAGCTCCATGTGGAAAACCTAGTAAGGAAACTGAAAGTTAAATTGGGTTTCTTTTTCAGAAATAGATCCTGTCTAACTTTGAATGCTAGGAAACACCTTGTAACTGTGACTTTCCTTCCCACCATTGATTA